GTTGTGCGTGAGTTTGTAGACATACATATATGTGTCTGTGTGTGTGGCCACTTCACTTTGAGTGGTTTAAAGCGTAATTACCAACTCGCAGTCTAGACTTTTATTATTCGCAAAGGAGACACATAGGTGTAGGACGCAGATGGTTTATGTCCAACTGTTTGTTTATGTGTTTCTTTATATCCCTTTATCAGTGAGTGTAATTCACTATTTAGTTTCTAACCTACCTCCTTTTTAGCCATTGGCTAAATTGTTTTTGTTTCACTTCATCTTCCCCCTCCTCCTTTTGTTTCCTTCCTCACCTATCAGATATGGGCGATTGCAGAAGGACATAAACACAACCAATTTTATGCAAACTGGTATTTATTCATTAGTGTGTCAAAAAAGAACAGCAACTCGATTTTAGTCTTTCTTTCCAATTAGTTGTTTGTATTTAACCATGACTAAGTTACATAGTTTTGTTTCATCCCTGATGTATTATGTAACAGCTGCAGTCATCCTCTTTATTATATAATACTTCTTATTCGTAACTAGATGTTTCAAACAGGCGAAATGAATGCGAATAATAGAAGGAATCCGACTGGTCTGTTCTTCGTTACTTATACATAACTATACTGTGATGGGAGAAGACAAGGGACTTTTTAATTAAGGAGAACCACACTATATGAATACATTTTTAACCATATTTAAGGTTGACTAGTTAGTTGATTAGTTGTTGATTTTCTGAAGGTTAAATCTTGAGATGAACAGTTGTCCAATGAGATTACTTCCTGATCACAACGTAAGGTGAATCCAGATTTGAGGAATAAACACTTCCACTTCCATTAACTTAAAGTATTGTTAAATTTTGGCTACTTCTTATCAATCTGCGTCCGTATACTTCTGATAAATCTTGTCAGTATCACACGCCACAACATATGTCATGTTCCATGACAATATTGATTATATTAGTATTTAATTGGTGGATCGTGACTAGCAGTGGAATCCAGGATGTGCATTTCGTCCTGTTTATGGACTCGTCACTGAATGTACCCGCAATCTCCAGCGAGTGATGGTGCTCCCATTGAGACTCGAACTCACTACCCATCGTTTTATACATCAAAGCGTTATCCGCTAGGCAAGCCACTTGAACGACGATTGTCATCTGTTCTGTATCTCTACTGGGAACTGGCATGACAACAGAGACCGAACTTTTAGGTCCAATTTAATCAATTGGCAGGAAATAAAAAAAATTACCTGAATAAATGTATTTAGTTCTGTTTGTTTATTGAGAGAAATTTTGATGTTTGTTTTGTCTCTTTATATTCTATCAAGTGCTTTTGTATATGACTTTAGGATTTTGTTTATTTGGTGTTTTTATCATTTTTATTATTTATATTATTATTTCAGTGAATTGATTGAGAGTAAATAAGTTTACATGTTTACTCTCTCTCTCTTTGTCTCTGTCTTTTTACATGTGTCTTTGTTCGTATATCTTATGTGTAGGAGTAGTACAGTTTTCTTTATTTTAGTGTTCACTCGAACTTTAGCTAAACTTAATTCACTGCTGTCTAGTATGTTTGTTTGTTCACTGACAATTAGTTTATGTTTACTTTGATTGAGTCTTTCGTTTTCTCACATTTTTATTACTGCAGTTTATATACGGCTTTCAGAGAATGACGTTAGTTTATCTGTATCTGTGTGTTTGTGTGTCCGTGTGTGCGTGCGTCTCTACGTTAAGTCTAATGTTGTTTGCAGTTTATTTACTGACACTTCTAATTTTAAACGTGGCGCTGTTTTGTTGTTTGTTAGTTTTGTTCAGCGAAATATAGTGTTATTGTTATTTTGGCAACAAACACACATACATACAGGCATATGAGAAAGTCCTATTAGCAGATGGATGTATATCTATGATACAGTATTTGAGAAATCATGTATCCATCCGGCTCTCATACAATACTTCTGATTGTTAAAACACCTTTTAGTTATGATTAATGTTTGCGAAATTGATAAGCACTAATCTGAATTTCCTGTGTCAACAAAATCGATTACATATATGTATATATATATATATATCCTGGATCCGCGTCGGTGGTATAGCGTTTAGGACGCTCGCCGACCATGCACATGGTCCGGGGTTCGATCCCCGGCCACCGACGCACTCCTTTACCTTGCTTAGCCAGAAATAATCCTGGTAAAGAGGAAAGGTTGGGCATGAGGCTACTACCACAGAAACTTCAAGCCACTAGCTTGAAGCCCTATGTTCCACTGGGGAACATGAAGGAAAGAAAAAAAAGTTCTTTTGAAATTCTTGTTTCTTTCTTTTCTCTGCTTTTGTGTGATATATGGAGTGTAGCAACTTGAACTACTGGACTTTTGTACGAACCCGTATGCTGAAACCCAGTCAGTCAATCAGTCATTCGGCTGGACTGAGAATGTTTATTTTAAAGAGAGAGAGAGAGAGAAAGAGAGTATTAAGCATATATAAAACAATAGTAAACTTTCTTTTAATTAAAGTTATTTGGCATATAATTGAGGCAGACTACCGTTGATATATACAAGCTTGTCCATCATCTAGTAAACATGCTAAATTTTTGCTTGTCTGATCTGTCCGTCAACTAAGTAACAATCACTATGACGGATATACACATACTTACAATATAGGGTAGACATTGTCGGATTATTCACACCTCATTCAAATATTCATCTATCCTTCTGCATATAAATGTATACGCAGCTAGACACTTGTTTATTACACTGTTTGTTCATTACTTTTTTTTTCTCGTTCGGTTCTCTTTGAAGTAAGCATTTCTAAGAAAAGAATATTCTTGAATGAATCATTACGCTGAATATATTCTTCTGGCATGATAGATAAGATGGAAAAGACGAGATACGTTATGCTGTCATAGATCCGTGCGCTAATCATTGTTTAAGGAAAAAATCTGTATAAATGTTATGTCTGACAGGGAATTTCCACTATTCACACTCCCCCCCATCTCTCAACACACCATAATAAGTAGTATCGACTAGGAACTTGAAATTTGAACACTCATCATTTGTTTTGTTAAAGACAGATAACATATATGCTCTTGTTATCTTGTTTTTCTCCCGTGCACTGGGAAATCTGTTAACCGCCGATAAAATTTTTAGTGTGATGATATACAACTTATAGAGATATCGAAATGTTGTAAACGTGATTTAGAAATTATTTTCTATCCTCTTGTGTTCAGTCGTCTGAAAATTGAGTGTATTCTACATCTCTCTGTGTATGGATATTTGCATGATATCTAGCAAAAATGTAGTGCTCATCATGCATAACTAATAATTCCAACAAGTGTATATCATCAATTTGGCGAATAATTGAAAGCTCTAACTGTTACACATTATCCTATCTGTTAGTGTAGGCCTATCTGTTAATTGTTTTTACATAATATAATCCCGGATTTTCATTATATAAAAAACAAATCAGTGTTCTTGTAGACTGGAAATCTGGTGTCTGTCTGCTAGTGTGTATGTACGAAGATGTTGAACAAATCCTGTATATGGAGGCTTTCTTTTTACTATCTTTCCACTGCAATCTGTCAGTCAAGCAGATTTCAACTCACAATCCAATAGTTGAAAGCTAAAGTCACTTAGTCTGTGATGTAAGGCTATTGGGAAACTTACAGTAAAAGTGGTGTTAGGTATAATCTGTCCACCATCCACAGTGTAAAAAGATTTTTATGTGGTATAATTTGGTAAGAAGGGTAAGTCAATAAATGCAGTCGTGAATCGACGTCGATTACGATAACTAAGATGCATGTTCCTCATCATTGACGTCTTCTTTGATGAGCAATGTTAGCTGAAAAAGGAATTAGATTTGAAAAGAGTTGGGGGGATCAAATCAAAGCTTGGCATCAATCTATGCAGTCACTGACTGTTAGTTGAGGAGGTTTAGACTACCCGGTTGGAGTTCTCAGAATGGTTAGAGCCGATGCCTTGAAACTTAGTCATATTGTGGTGAGAGCTGGCTGTTAGCCAAAATTGGTGGACAGTAATTTACGTCAATTTTCATGTCCCCAATATCGGTCGTGAGAAAAATGAGAACAAAAGCTTTGTATAGGCGGATACAGTTTACATATAGATGATTTGACATTCAAGAAACAGCCACAAAGAGATGCAAGGTTAACTTTCTGTGAGAAACAACCAACCAAAAAACTGTGTTTTTCTGCTAACAATAATCTATAATATGTACATGAAAATCTATAAATATGTGTTGATTTCCTTAATAAACGAACTGTTGTGTGTCCCTTGTCTTCTGTTGTTACAATATGGTTCAAAATCGTTCATAATAGCATAGATGTAATATCCCATGTCAGTTAAATTCTCCTGTCTTTCCATGTTACCATTCTTCATCCCGTATATTTGTGGTCATTATAGTTGTGGATTTTTCGTTTCCTCTTCCTTTGTATGTTATATGCAAGTGAAGCAACTTGAATCTCTGCACTTTTATGCACAATTGTATATTACAACTGAGAGTCAGTCTCTTCATTTAGCACAACATGGTTTATATGAAATAAAAAATAATTACCTGTTGTATATGTGCTCATTTTGTGTCAACATTGTTCAAGCGTGACTTTTCATAAGTGAATATACATCTGCTGCATGTTGTGTATACTGCCATTCTTGGTGTTGATAACATGTCGATTTCAAATACCTCTGTTAATACAAGAGAGTCAGTATGAGAATTCTACTCTTAGGGTGTCATTGCAATATTGTTGCATAGTAACATGTATGCCTATTCTTTACCACTTTAACTGGTATGTTTGAGTTTTCATTCTGGAGATGATATTTGAAGCTTTTTTAAAATACTTTTTTCTGGATATTTGCATATTATTTTAAAAACCTGTATGCATGCTTGTTTATGCTGAGAAAAATATTTTAATGGGTAAAATATTTCAGTTCCTTTTAACCATAATTTCTTCTCCATAATATTTTATCAATTTTCATTTAGTTTATTTTCATGTTTTCTTCTCATATTTTAGAACGAGATTGTAGACCGACTGAACAAGTTATACGTGAATGTATACAAATGAGATTAGAGGAAGCCTATCCTAATGTCTTGTCTATGGAAGATCTTGTTCGGTAAGTTTTGCTTCTTCCCTCTCGCTCGTCCTCCTCCTCATTATCTGTGTTGGCATTATATTTGAAGTATGTGCTTTTCTCTCTCTCTCACTTGAAGTGTATGTTGTGTGCTTTTGTGGATGTTTGAAACTGAAGCTCTTTTTGTCTCTGAACCTTATTAACTGAAGACTACTGATAACTCTACAAATCACGCTTTTTTGTGTGGGTGACTAAGCTGATTATGTTAGTAGGTTATTCACACGCATGAAAGTTGGCTTCTTTAACTAACAAGCTACACCTGCACACAAAGTGTCTCATCTCTTATGCATTGGGCTATCGTTTAGAGTGTAAACCTTACTTGTTGTTTGTACCAGACTGGTGATTTTATAACCCCTAACTAAAGGGTATATTCTGTTGATTTTCTTGACCTTCGCCTTTTTGATCCACTCGGGGAAAAATTCCATCTAAAAGTTACAGCTTTACTTTCTGTGTCTTGCCTATTAGGTGTTTTGATTACCTCGATGTATTGTACAGATCTAATGTTGCTAACACTTATCAGTTCTGATAAAGACCTTGTTAATCCAGACATTTCACTGTGTATTACCCTGTTTAAGTGAGACTGTTCATCACAAATCTATTTAGATCTTAATAAAACTAAACAATGTATGATTGATATGAGTATAAAACTTGAGCACTGTGGTAGAGTATAACTCCATTGTGGATAAGATTTTATTTTGATAAATCACACACAGTGTTGTACAGTAATATTAACTGATGACCACGTTTCGAGCACAAACTATTACTCATAATCATATCATATAAATGAAGTAAAAAAAGTTGTGTGAGAGTGACTTGATATGATTATGAAACGTGGTCATCAGTTAATATTATTGTATAACACTGTGTGATTTATCAAAATAATATCTTATCTATTATGGACAATTTATGGTCGACAGTAGAATGTATATATTGCCAAAGCATTCAAGAAAGTGATTATGTGTCAGCTTGAATCCAAACCGTCTTATCCTAACTTTTATTCAATCAGTCTAGAAATATGCCTGCTACTATGATCACAGTGTCGTCGGACTTATTCCTAACTAGTAGTAATATCACATCAGATGGTTGGAGGCATTTGCTAAGAAGCTGTGAATCGTTGGTTTCATGCTTTCTGAAAGTCGCCAGCAAGGCGTATCTGCAAATTAAAGGGAACTGATTTCCCACTCTGAAATTGGAACCCTCATCACTCAACACTGCTGTCGTCACCAAGCTTAGCTGACCAGATTGCACAATTGACTGACTGATAGAATTCAGTCTACACCAACACCAAGGACGAGGCGGATGAGATTTGTTACGCTCTAGGGGGGAGCAGTCAGTGTATATTGTTGTTAATGTATTAACGCTTAGTCATATATTGTTTCTAAATTACAGGTCACACTAAAGGGAAAAAAAGTAGTTGGCAGTATTGCTCATCTAGAAAAGGTATTCGTAGTATCGGGTACTTACATGCGTACTTGTCTCTAACTTTTTTCTTTATTCATAAAATATATTGATGTATGCACCTAGATGCTGTTCCAATTAAACTGAAGATTTTAGTCGTATATGCCATAGTGATTAATCGTCTAATCATAATCGTTTTTCTGTTATTGTTTTTTTAAAGTTATTTGTTTATATTTATTTTAAGTGCAAAACTGTGAAATTTCACGTATGACTTCTGATTCTTCCTTTCAAAATATATATATATATATATATATATATACTAGGATTATTTGCTATATAAATATTTTAGTCACACTGTGTACCTTGTTCAAAGCACTTCTCGTCAAACAAAAATGGAAATACTGTTTTGAATGTTATTGCACTATGCATACAACATCTCTAATACACACTAGTTTGTCTTATGTTCAGCGTATTTTGTCATTGGTATTTTCAGTTGCTAATCCGAAAATGTTTTTTAAATACCGTACGTAGTAGTACGCTCATCTATAAATTGCCCTTAAAAGCTTTTAAGCATGAAAATACTGCTGTCGTTTACAATTTTTGATTGATTTGGAGGATATGCTGACATCATTATCTGACATCGGTTAGAGAACCGTTGAAAAACCAGGGAGTACTGGACAGCTGCTGTTTCATCCTAGCTTGGGACTCTTCATCAGTACACACCCACCGCCAGGGTTCGAACTCAGGACCTTCTGGTTGCAAGATGAGCTCGTAGACCATTAAGCCACTGGGACCCGATCCAATATCCACCCATGAATTCTAATTTCTGCCATAGTGCAACCACTAAGTTTTAGATTTTTGATATTCTAGAAGATAAAGAAGGAAAGAATGAGACAAGAACATTCTTGCCTATAGCTTCCTCATCCGCTTCTACAGATATTTATATATATGTATATATAACTTTTAAAGAGTAATTATTATTCATAACAGTGATGGTGTTTTTTTCACTTGTTCGATTACACCACGAACCAACATCACTTAGAGATAGTCGAAAACAAGGGACCATTGATCTCTTACTGGTGTTGATTCATGATGAAATTTATCAACTGAAATTGCGATTCACATCCCCAGAGATCCCTAAATCTGAATGGTTTATGTTTAGATAATATCAAGATCAAATAGATTAACAATCCAAAGAAACTGGTGGAAGTGACAAAAAGCAAAAGAAAGGTGTAATACTAAATAGGAATATCAGATTAGATTAAGCAGAAAAATTGATGCAACTAATTGAAGATAGTTAAAATCATGATTGCCTGTAAAAAAAAGGATTAGAGGGAAGAGGAGAGGAATTGTCAAGTTGTTACAATCAAATAATGGTGGCCATGGCAGGAAAAGCGTTTGAACGGATTTCTTATGAACACGTAAGGTTAGGCTACTTCGGGTGGATTCTGATAGCTTCAGCTGTATATATGAGGGACGAAGTTATAAGATAAAATGAAGGTTAATTTGAATTCAATAGATAACTTTAAAAGCTACGTTATCATCAACTTTATATTCAGTGTTTATCTACATGGTGGCCAGCTAAAACAAACCTGCGAATAATCCCTCTTTGTCCCTTGCTTAACCACGCAGGATGGTGCTTAGAAATAGGATGATCAACATGCCTAGTTGTGTATGCCCAATATAACCTGCTCCTTAAGAGCAGTCGAAGTAATAAATGCACATAAGTGAAGCGAAATTAGGTAGCTTATCTTTAATTTCTGAAAGTGAAAAAAGAAGTGGTTGTTAAGAGAAAGTCAGTGTACACTGAATGTTATTTTTACTGCATTATTGAGGTGCTGTGCTACTTTTTCACTGATGTCACCGCTAGAAAAATGAAGTTTTAAGAACAAAGGCTTCTTCAGAGCTCATGATGTATTGACTTGTCTTGACTGTAAGTCATTAATGATTATCGGGAAATGGGATTAAATTGCTGTGAATTCAATTGCAAACTGAACTACTAACTCCGTAGTTTCCCACTGGCTCTATCCGAGATAACTGATCAATCATTTTAGCCAATCATACACCTTGATATAGATAATTAACAATAACTGTAGTCGTTGCGTATTAAATAACTTCCATTGCTATATTATTTGGGTTAGAAAACTATCGTGTGAACCACTACTCAGTGGGTGCAGATAGGTCCAGATGAAGGCTCGGAAAGAATAAAACGCTGTTGTAGATTCTACTTGGGCCTACCACTGAACACACAATGTCAAGATAAGCCTCAGGTGTTTATTTGAGGATGAAAATCCGTCAGAGACAACTGATACGACGAAAACCAGTAGTACCGCTTGTGTCTCTGATGAGGTACCCCCCAAACTAGAGAAAACAGCTATCCGGTGTTCATATCGCTTCTGCCTGGCTAAGAAACTCTGCCAGTTGATGTGAATGGTTTCTAACTACTCATATAAATCAGTAGTATGTATAGCAGCATACAATTGTGCTTGCGTTTGTTATATAGTTTATAAAGATATTCATTTAAGCAGTATCACTGTCAAATCGTAAATTATCATGAAAATGTCGTTTTTACTAAGTTATTCTGTGAGATCTTATCAGAACAATTTATTTTGTGATAATGTATAATACCAATGATACGTTTTCATCAAAGCTTGACACTAATTAAAAAGCCTATTAAAATCCAGGTGGTGGTAGTAGTAGTAGTGGGCAGTAGTTTCTTTAGAGAGTAAACCTTAGTACAAAAATATAGACTCATATTCTCCCTCTCTCACACACACATACATACACACACGCGCGCAGAAGTGTGAGAAATGCTTAGAAATTGTTCTAAAATATAGTGTAAAGTGTGTCTAGAGAAGATATGCGTTCGCCCTTACAGTCCAAGTAATAAAATCAATGATAGATAAGAGATGTTTTACTTTATCTGGTATCTGTTGGGTATTTCAGTCTTCCTATTGAAATTTTGTAGCATGAGGAAAATAATATCGGTGGTACAGCGGTAGGATGCTCGCCAACTACGCATGTGGTTCGGGGTTCGCTCCTCGACCGATGCACTCCTTTACCTGGCTAGGCCAGTAATAAGACTGGTAAAGAGTGAAGGTTGGGCATGAGGCTAGCAACCCATCCAGTAAAGGTAAACACTACTGCTACCGAAACTTCTAAGCTCCAGCTTGAAGCCCTATGTTCCACTGGGAAAGAGTAAAAAAGGAATAAAATAGAATAATTTGTTGAAATCCTCATGTTTTATTTGTGTCATTTCATGTAGTTTGTGTGTGTGTGTTTACTTTCTTCCTTAGCTAGTTTGAGATTTAATCACATCTAATAGTTAATGATAATACATTAATAATAAGAAATAAATGTCACTGACAAGTTTGCGTTTAATGATTACTGTTCATGTTCATACATGATTTTTTGTGTGGCTGAAAATGATTGTTGTTCGACATCCGGTTTCAAATCGATTTTTGCTGTTTATGAGATCATTGCCGTGGTTCTTAAAACAATAATGACCTATAAATTGGATTGTAAGCAGTATTGATGTTTAGCGTGGAGTTTTAGGTAAGGAGGGCAAATTGATCGAGAGGTTT